CAGGCTTGGGAAGTGAGATCTGCTCCCTCCTGGCTGCAGCTCTCTGCCAGCGGGTCTCTGCTGCTATGGCAAAGCACAAGGCTGTCACTTTGGCATGATGGGCTGGGAAAGAGGGAGGTGAAGCAGTGCTGTGCTGTGGCCAGATGGGCTGCTTCACGGGCTCAGGGTAGGGCTGTTAAAAGCAGTTCAAAGTAACTTGGTGCAGCTTTCTCATGGAGAAAACTGAGCCGGGCTGTCTTGCACTGGGATGTCACTAAAACCCCAGTAAGAAGAAATGCTTCCCTCTGGATTGTTTGATCTTAGCACTGCTTTGCAGGCAGGGTCATCCCAGTGCCGTTTGTGCAAGGCTGTGACAGGGATGAGCTGTGTGAACCAGGGACCAGCTCGCAAGGGAAGGGGAGTAGATGCGTTGGGTACCGCTCCTGGAGATCCGCTTTAGGAGATGAAGGCTGCTCTTCCATATCAGGGCTAAGATGACATTATATCTCTCCCTTCTGCTCAGAAGGTTTTATTCTAACACATTCTTGGCACAGCACAGCAGAACCAGCAATATTTCTATGAATTCTATTAAGCTTGCTTCCATAATGGGAGGCAGCAATCTGCTCTCTAGCATCCTTCCGCCCCCCTCCTCCCTAGGACTAAACCTGAACTGCATCCAGGAGTTTTAAATCAAGTTTGCTGGCGGCAACTTCAGTGTCTTTGCCTTTCCCAAAGGCTCTTTGAGAAGCTGAAAGTGCTTCAGGTTCGTTGTCCAGTGAGGGTTTTCTGCTGTGCTGCATCTCTGGTCCCAGTGCCTGTTTGGTGCAGCATCTTTAAAGCTGCCCAAGGTGCTGGCTCTGTCCACCCTGCTCCTGGGTGGTGGCTGCTCCCCTCCCCGAGGCCAGGGGAGATGGTGTTGCTGTTTCCTGATGTCCAATCCCACGTGCAATGAATCTACAGCCTCCCAGGGTTGAAAGGACATGAGGGAAAACCCTTCTCTTGCTGTGCTGGGGCTGGTGCTGGCTGCGGTAATGGGGCTCATCCATCAGTCTTGCGTGCCACGTTCAGCATTCCCTGTGGATCCAGGACCCACCAGTCATGCAAGTGCCCCCGGGGTGCGTTTTGGTGCCAAGCAGCCATAGCATGGGATGTACAGGGTGGGAAGAAGGGACTCAGTGTTAGGACTCAGGATGAGCCTTGGAAGCTTAGCAAGACTGGGGCTTTTGATGCAGCAGGCACAAGGGCTGCCCTGTGCTGAGGCCAGGCTCTTGTTGCTGTTGCTGCAGCAGGAGGCTGACCCTGCAGCCCAGCGTGGGGGGAAAATGGGGTTGTTTTCTCTAGGGGGGAACCAGCCCTGGGGAGAGGCAAAGGCAGCAAGCGCCAGGGATCCCACAGGGTGGCAGGGTCAGGATGGAAGCACATGGTAAAACCAAAAGGCCACCCATGGCTGTGACAGCAGGGATGTCCCCTTCCTCCCGGGCTCCATCCCTGTCCCAGTGCCCTCAAAGCTGTGAACAGCTTCACTAAAGTTTATCTTTATAAATTTTTTTTGGATATTTTTATATAAAATTTATATTTGTACAATTTATATGTTTATTTATATATAAAATTTATATTTATATTTATATATAACATTTGAACAAAACCTAAAATCCTGGGTTTGGATGGACCAGGGGCTCCTACTGCAGCAAGCCCTGCTCCCAGCCCTCTCTGTAGTCACAACAGGGGGCAAAAGGTAGGATTTAACTATCTGCTGCTCTTGGGCACGGTGCAGATGCTTCTGCTTGAACTGGGGATAGTTCAGGACCAACATCGTATTTAATGGGCTTATAAAAGCAGGGGAACCAGGTCTTGATGGAGGCTGAGCTCGCCTGGTGCTGCAGCTCTGACTCCTGTTTGGTGGGGGAAGCACTTGGGCCATGGAATGGGTTTTGTTTCCTTTCCTATTTGTATTTAAAGTTAGCTGTATAATTCTATATATAATCAGCTAGCGCTGATCTGGTTTCAAAGTCAGCTATAACTTAAGAAAGCAAAGCAAGCCTCTGTTCAGAAAACATAACTTTATTATTAGTTGCAATATACATTGTATTCCTTTAAGAATCCTAAACTTGTATATGTTTTTTTTTTCCCATTGAAAATACATGTGTATGTATATATGTTTTTATATATGTATATATATATAAATGTAATTTATTGAACTGGAACACGATGGGACAAGAGAGACAAGCTCAGAAATCACTTGGCAAAGTAAATGCCGTCTCCATGGGTCTGTGCTGGATGTGCTAAGGTCAGCGGTATAAAAAGAGCAGGCCAGATAGAAAGAGTGATGGGTTTGGGCCATGGGGAAGGGTCCCAGTGCTGCAGAGGTGATATGTACAGTAGTTAACGTTGCTATTGCTCAGTCGTGGGTGCCACCTCTTCCCAAAGGCAGGCGGGTCCGCACAGCATCATTCATAAGGCCGGCTGTGCTCCCTGCAGATGGTCCCTGCCCTTGGGAACAGGGAGTGCGGTTCCCTTGGCAGCAGCTCTGCTCCGTGCTAATCTGGTCAGAGAAGGAGGAATCCCTCCGGGGCACGGGGAAACCAAAGAGGGTCAATATGAAGTGGCTTCTATGCAGGGGAAGGGGTCAGCGACAGCAGTGAGAGCTGCCTCCGGGTGGGTTTCCCCTGTGCTAAGGTCCTCAGTAGCTAACTCTTCAGCTGAGGGTGGCACCAGCCCCTGCTGTGCCCTGGGGCTGGTTTGGGCTTTTCTTTGCTGTTCTTTCAGCTTTTTGCTTGTTAACCCGGTTTCCAAAGAGCTTCCCCGGCCCCACGCCACGGCTGAGCTCAGCTGGGCAGAGGGAGAAGCCTTCCCCACATCAACCTCATCGGTTTCCTTCTGTGTCTCCTGTACGCGTCCGAGCTGCGGATGTTTCCCGGCTGAGAGGACACGTCTGAGCAAGGCACTGACCGCCGGCTCCCCTCTGCCTGAAGCCAGGCTGGAGGGAGCAGACGGGCTCTGACCTTCCTGTGGAGGGTCGCTGCCTTACAAAGTGCTTGTCGGCTCGGAAGGGATGTGGAGAGCGTGGGCACTGATTTTCTCCTCCCGACTTCCCCTGGAAAAGTGCTTTCAGGAACCCCATCCTCATCCTGCTGCTACCCCCGCAGCGCCTGGCACCGCCGGATCCTGCCTGCTTGGTTCCCTTTCCAGCTGAAGGAGCAGGTGAGGTTTATCACCACTTTATCACCGCTGCAGCGCTCCTCTTCCTGCCGCCTTTCCCCAGCAGCATCTGGCAAGGAGGGATCTTGCCCAGGGAAAAGAAGGTGCATCAAGCCAGGCTGCTGGAGGATGTGGAGCAGGGGACCTGCATCGCCTCCTGCCCACAGCCAGTGTCACCAGTGGCCGGGGAGAGCAGCTGATTGCACTGGAATCGTATTGAACCAAAAGCTGGTGTTTCGGGGGGAATTACAGCTCATTTCTTTCTTTAGAGACAAGGAAATACAAATAGGAAAGTGCCTGGATCAATCTCTATAAAGAACTTCCCTTAGGGCAATTCCAAGGACATAACCTGCATCCACACATCCTTCATCCATCCACGCTGCTGGGACTGAGCCCTGACTCTGACTGTTATTGCACAGACGTCCCTTTCCTGACTCCATCCACAACTGGGCTTAAAGGGGATAAAAGGTGGGTGACCCTGACACTGTCACAGGTGGGATCCAGCCCTGGGGATGCAGCTCAGGACACAATGACGGATCCAGGCTGCCAGGGAAGGCAACGAGGGGCTTGTTTGTCACTGGGGGATGCCCCAGTCTCATAGTGCAACATTCACAGGCATTTTCTTCTTGCAGAACTGGAGGGAGAGGCACAGGTTAAACCCTTTCCCTTTGGTCAGTACCAAGAAGTGTATTCATAGTTAGGGCCATCACCCTGGACAAACTGGCCAGCGCAGTCACACTGTGATCACTGTGCAGTTTGTGCTGTATCTGCTCCATAAACTTCACCCTGCTGTGACCAGAGACACAGGCAGCTCTAGGATTTGGCTTCTCTGCACCCCTGGACCAGTCCACAAGCTCCTCTATGGCAGCTCATACACCGATGTCCCCGGATGCCCCCAGTGCAGCAAGGCAGATGTTGGATGGATGCTCTATGCTCTGCCTCCAGCTCCCCACCTTGCTGAAGGGCTCAGTGATCCACCCCAGAGGGGATTATGCTGCTCAGGAGGAGATGGGATGCGCTTGGATGGGATCTCTGCTCCTGCTGTGGAGCTCCTGCTAAACCAGTGGACCATGAGGACACCCACTGCTAATCCCTACCCACCAGCTGCTCTGCACTTCCCTCCAGCATTACTTTCAGGACATTTTCCAACTGATGAAGGAAAACAACAGATTATGACTGTGAAGTTATGGTGAAAGGACTGGGTCCTGGTAGGACAACATTATTCCTTGCCAAGAGAAAGAGCAATTAACTTCTGCTTTAGACTCTCCTCTCATTCCTTCCCAGCTCTATATACGTCATATATTATATTACTCTTTCTCTCATAACTTTGACTTTGCTCTTTCAGTTTCAGTAGCACAAGTGATTAATTCCAAAGGAAAAGGGAAAAAATAAGGGAAAATGGGAGAAAAAGCAGCCCCATGAAATATTTACAGAGTAGTTCATTGTGCAGAGGAGGCGAGGTTTGGCATGGGGAAAAGCCTGGGTTTTGAATGTGCCAAGTGGGGTTGATCCCACATTCCTCCTCTCCCCTCTGGGATCCTGCCCTGATCATTAAAACTAAAGAGCTGTTCAATGTCTTTCCCCAGTGCAAACTTGCAGAGGACATGCAGGGCGGTGAGGAGGCTGCCTCTGGGCTCCTGGTAAAGGCAGCATCCAAAGGGATCTAACCTTGGAAAGCAGCCTTTCTCGTCAGCTCCCACTCCAGCCTCTCCTCGTGACCCAGCACTCTGGGTGCTGCTCTTCTCTCAAGGACCATGGCTTTTAAGGTACTGGATGGTGGGGATGGGGAAGGGACTTAATGCACCTGGAATCAAACCATGAAGTGGAAGGTGGTGACTTCTTTAACATAGCAAAAGTTATTGCAGTATAAATGCACCCCTGTCACCCAGCGCAAGCAGAGAAGGGGAAGTGGTGGGGGAAGGTTGGTGGGTGAGGAGCACTTCCATAGTCACCCAACCCGGGGAAAGCATCCATTCTCCTCCAGATTAGGCCCATGGCCATTTACATCAGCAGATGGTGCTCCACCCTGTGCCTCTCCCCCCACCCTCCCTTAGCTGTGCATGATAGAGCATCCCAAGAGTCCCTCCACTGTAGGTCTTCCGGAGAGAGACTTCTATTAAGCCAAGCATCTGCTCCCAGAAAACCCCAGTGAGAGCTGCAAACCCCATTGCTCTCAGGCCTGGCTGGCTTCCCCAGCGCCCGAGACCTTCTGGCTAATCCATGTTAGTATTTCTGTGAAGACAGAGGTAGAGACCTCGGGCAGCTCTTTGTGGAGGGCATGGTAGGCTTCCTCATAGACCTGCAACAGGGAGAGAGCAGGGATGAGCACAGGCAAAAGTCATCTGCATGAGCAAACCAGCCTTAGCTCCCCTCCCATCAGCACCCACAGGTCCAGCACGTCTTGCCCACACCTCGGCAGGGTTTTCTCCCAGATGGAGCAGGTTATGGAATGAAGAGATGCTGCTGGTGGCACAGGAAAGCATCAGCATTGCCGCTCGCCATCCGTGTGTTACCCAGCACCCTGCTGCCCTTTAGCTGCACATCCCAGCCCCATCCATTTCTTGCTTCTTATCCCACTAAGGAGGAGGAAATCCTTATCATGCCCTTGGATTTAAAGGACAATGGGGATGTTCCCATCATGCCTTGTGTGATTTCACTCTTTTCATGTTCAGACTGTCCAGTTACTTTTCCAATGACAAAAGCCTGCCCCTGGTCTCCCTGTCTCTCTTTCAGACTCATTCATGTGCTAACAATTGGTTAATCAGACATGGCTCTTTTGAGCAGATGTGAAGTGCCTTTCGCTGTGCAGCCTTGGAAGGGCCCCTGTACCTTTACACGCTGGAGCACAAGGTAAGGTTGGTGCTCGCACAGTTGCCATTGCTCAGAAGAGCTTTTGGGGTCAGCACTTTACCCGCCTATGAGCCTGGCTCTATTTGTACACCAAGATGCCTCATGGCCAAGGCACAATCACTGCTGGGTCAGGTCTTGGGGTCACAGCCTGGCTGTGGCTGATGGAAGGTGCCCAGGAAGGGCTGTATTTGGGCTCAGCAGTGCATCAGCCCTGCTTTGCCTCCAGGCTCCCTGCCCCTCACTGCCACCAGGCTCAGGCCACCACTGACATGCCAGTACCCTAAAACCCAAGAAACCCATCTGACCTTGAGCGTTTTGTCCTGACTTTGCACTGTTTCCATCAGGAAATAGGACCCTTTGATGTCGCAGAGCTTGTCGGAAGAGCCGTGTAGCACCAGGATGGGCAAAGTCAGCTTGGGCAGAGCTCGCTCGATTCTGGCAATGGCATTCATCAGCTGGATGACAAAGGAGACCTTCATGCCACCGTGGTAGACCAAGGGATCAGATGTGTAGGACTCCATCTGGCAGTGACAGAAAGGTAAGTTGAGGTTAGCAATACTTCATGCAGGGAAGACAAAGCCTGGAGGTGAGGAGGCTCTTTCCTGCACTTGGACAGGCATTTCCTGCTCTGTCAGGACATCCTGCCATCAAAGTGAAGGTCAGGGTCTTACTGTGGCCACCCAGAGCTGCTCACACAATCTGGCTAGCGCCTTGCTGTGTGTTTCTCTCTTCCATCACTGGAAAGCATTCAAGCCAAAGCCCTTTCTGCAGGCAAGCAATCGGTGTCATAGACTGTCCCCACGGGGGCATCTGCCTGTGTTTTAACCCTCTGTCACTCAAACATGACATCTCTCCTGCAGAGGGTTCTTGGTACTTGATAAACTGATGCTCTCCAGGTCCTCATCCTGGATCGTGACTACAGATCCTGACACATCTGCCTGCCAAGGGCTCTTGTGCTGAGGGGTCCCCTCCGGGTACCGCGGCCGGCGATGATGGACGAGGCGGTGGGCAATAAGGCAGCCCGCAAGCGGCTTGGCCCCGCTGTGCAGGGCAGGACAGGACGGGGAGCCGCAGGAACAGGCAGTTCCGCCGCGGGCAGAGCACAGTAAATGTTTGTACACTGCTCGGGGCCGGCCCACACAGGCGCTGCCAGCACGCTCCAATGCGGGGCTGGCGCTGGCACAGCTCTCCCGGCCCTGGCAGATGTGTATGGAAATGCCGGTTATTTATAGGAGAGCCGGAGCCGGCTCCTCCCTCCTGCCCCGCAGCACACTGAGGATCTCTTGCTGCATGTGCCTGGCCCAGTGGGACCACGGGAGGGAGGGGACCCGTGAGGACACCCCAGGGACAGGTAGCACAGCACAAACATGCGCAGCATCACCTGTCTGGGCCCACCGAGAAGCTGGAAAGGCTTTGGGGTGCATCCTGCATCCACCCCCCTGTGAGATGAGTGGCAGGGCGGCAGAAGGACAGGTAGGGACAGTGACAGGACAAGGGGGAATGGCTTTAATGGCAAACACTTTTGTGCACATGATGGGAGGGAGAAAATAATAACCCAATGTCAACCTGGATGGATCAGGACTGACGGGGAGTATCCTATTGCTAGTGGATGAACAGGAATCCTTGTCAGTGTTGATGGACACGGGGCAACTGCAAATCAGCAGCTTGCTGGGGAAAGAGGGAATGATAGGGAATGGGGTTTATATCCTGCAAGCTATGAACTGCAGTGAAGGCTCTGCAGGGGTTATCACAACAGCTTCTCTTTCTGTAATGCTGAGACAGAAGCAATCATCAGCGCTCCTTCCGCATTACATTCCCCTGCTTAGGGTCTGCATCTTCCCTTTGCATTTCGCAGAGCAATAAACTCATTGTCAAGTAATTGCAGCCTCATCCTAAGGGGTTCCCATCCCTGTGATGTTATTCCTCCTTGGAATAACAGGACTGGGGTTTAAAGGTTGCTTCTTGCTCCCTTTGTGTCTCTTGCTGCAGCAAGCCGATCAAACAAACATCTCCATAGCATCCCGTGCTTCAGTCCCTACAGCCCGAGGACAGCCTGCTGGGAGCACAAATTCATCAGGAAATTCTTGGATGATGTCCCAAAAAATATTTCTAGAGAATAGAAAGTTGGTCTGGCAGGAGGATGCGCCTGACACATAAATAATGGATGTTCCCAGCACATGGTGTGCTTTGAAGCTGCGCATCTTGAGGCCAGGAGGAGGGTGGGGGGTGTGTTGAAGGCAGCCAGAGGACCGAGATGCTGCGATGTCCTCAGAAATACCTGGAGCCCCAAACCCTTGTGTTTGAAGATGGTCAGGACAGTGCTTTACATCACAACCCACGCTGCTGTCAGCCATGTATACACTTGTAGGTGTGGAGGCAGCACAGCAAGGGGGGTTTGGTGTCTCATTTTGAAGGCTGCTCCGTTATAAGCAGCCTCTAATGAAGCAGACCTATGTTTTTATCCACTGCAAAAGGCTTTCCTCGCTCTGTGGGAAGGGCAGAGGGAAAACAATGCTCAAAGGAAGCTCTTGAGACTTGGAGCATCACAGAGCAGAGGAAGCAGCAGCAAATATTTAGATAGGAAGACAACACAACAGCATGTACTATAAACTGGCCAGTGGTTGCTGTGGTGATTCCTAACATCACCCCAACATGTCCTAGCTCCTGGAAGAGCTGGGGTTTGCCACTGCAGTGAGCGGTGCTGGTGCAGCAGAGGCAAACCTGGCTCCCATGTGCTTTAAACCACAACCATAGCACAGATTGCTGTTATGTCTTGTACCCAGAGTGGGTGCAAGGCAAACTGAAGGATAGAATAGCGATCGCCACAGTTTTCTCCTGTGTGCAATCAGTGCCACTGACTTCAGAGATGTTTCACCTTGCTGCACCAGCATAGATTTTGCCTTCATGCGTTAGTAAAACACTTGTTGGTTTGGGGTGGTTTTGGACAAGACACCAACCATGCAGAGACTTTCAATGGCATTAAGGTTCTCACCTCCTTCTTGTTGCGGGATATTGCATTTGGATCTATCGATCCCAGGGACAGGTTTGGGAGAACCAAGTTGAGCACTTTCGCTGCAAAAACCTGTGGGAGAGGAAAGCAAAGCAGTTCAAGGGCTTGTGAGAGCAAGAGGAGGTAACGGAGAGGGTGAGGCTCTGGGCTCATGGGAGGTGAAATAGCTGAGAAATGGCAACTGACACTGGAAAAAGATCGGCCCTATGCTTAAAGCATCTTAAAGAGAAAGTGTCTGAACTGCCCTCAGCCTCTGCACACATGCAGCATCACAACTTCATTGTGCTTTGCCTTTTTCTCTTTCTCAAGTTAACTTCTCCAAGGCCTCAGTTAAGCACTTTGATAGGAAAAAGCCATTTCCAGCCCTCAGAAGGGCTGGGATTTGTTGATTTATTGCCCTTTCCTCGCTGCCCCAGCTCTGATTTCAGGCTGCGGCGCATAAGTGATGCTTGGTGCGATTTGCAGTAGTTGCCTAGGCTGCGGTCTTCTTGATAAGCATATTCACTGGGGAGCCTGTAAATAAACAGCAGCAAAATGTGCCTGCATTGGCTAAGGAAATCCAGGGCTCGCTTGTCTCCTGGGAACGCAGCAAAAGCCTTCGGCAGGCTGGGAACCACTAGCTAGAAGAAAGGGTAAGGCCTTTTGTTTCAATAGCACTACAAGCACATTGCTACCAGGTTCTGCTCTGATCCTTGAATGCTGTCTTTAATGAAGTGATCAGCACTTAAGTCATAAAATACACCATTAGTGTTTGTTGGTCTGTTTTATGGCCCTCCCAGTTCCCAGCTACTGCTTGCAGGGAGGCTGTCACACATGGTCTCTGCTTCTGCTGATGTGCAATCACTTCTGGAGCAGTCCCTGACATTGCAGATCCCAGATGAGAGATGACAGAGTAATTATGATATTAAAGGAATAAAGCAAGGTTGAAGGCAAAGTCACTGGGGAGTGAAAAGCAATAAAGGCTCACAAGGAGGTTTGGGAACACGTGCCCCTTGACTGGATGTGGAACTTCAAGGTGACTTCATGGCTTTTTGTGTTAGTTTAACTGATGGTACACGATGCACACTGTAGACACTTTTCTTCCACATCTCAATGAAAAAGGAGGAAGCAGCAAGACATCTCTCCAATCGGATTTGCAACTGGATGTTTCTATCCAGACACAGGGCACCGATGAGGCTGCAAAGAGCAGAATCTGATCTTCCTGCACATAGGCTGGGCTGGTGGGGCAGAGGAAGGTGTTTCTCAGGCAGACTGAAGGATTCAGTGTGGATCTGGCTGCTGTCGTTGTTGCCTTGAGCCCTCATTTGTTTAGGCCAAGGTAAATTCTTGCTCAGCTGGAAACTTCCCCAGCAAAGGGATGAATACAACGGTCCTTGGGAAGCTGCCCAGGGCCGAGGATCGTACTGGTTCCAAGGGAAAACCAAAGCCTTTGTGCCTCAGAGGAACAAACACCAGTGAAGTGGGGTTTGGCTTTCAGAGGAAGAAACAGCACACAAGTGTTTTACGTGATCTATGGGAAAACAGGGCTTGCACAGGAATACCCTGCCTGTCTCACGCCTTCCTCTTGCAAATACCTTTGCAACGCCAGGACTGATTCAAGCTAAATTTGACAGAGCAGGGATATTATAAAGATGAGTTAATTTTGTATCGGTTTCGAGGTGCAGCAATGGATTTGAAAGAGAAAGCAGCTCAGCGTGCACTTGTATTGCTGTGTGCAAGAGACTCTTTAGGAGAGAGACCGTATGCGCACCTCAGAAGTCCTTCAGTTAGAGACTGGGATTTCCTACACTGACACAAAGCAACAATCTGGTGCAGTAATACCAGTTCCCAGAGAACTGGTGAGTCCTTATTTCAGGAAGGGTTTAGCATCTTCGTCTAGAAGAAGGAAAATCTTTCCCTATTTTCCTTGTCTTGACCAGAAGCAGAGGGTAAATCTCTGTGAATTACTCAGATTTGGACCCTCCTTTTTTATTCTTGATATTTATTCTTCCTTTTCCAAAGTAAGGAATAACAGCGGCACTCATGGAACCCTTATGCTGGGTCAGGTATAGCCTCACCTGTGAAGAGTCAGCTCCCAGCCTCCTAAAACCCCTTGTTGGTGCTGTGACTCCTATTTAAATGAGTTTTCCCAGATAGGGTGGCTTCAGGATTCACTTTTCCCCTCTGGAAAGTAGGTGGGACTGAGGGGGAGGCACTCAGAAGGGAAGTATTGATCAGCATCCAGGTGGTGCAGATCTCATCTGGGCTTTCCTTTTTAAAGCTAGGGGTCTGAAAGCCTTTCCTTCAGTGGAGGAGGGAGGTGGCTCAAAAGCACCTTTTGGTGCTTGCAGTGATGGGTGAGGTCAGTTGATGGCATTGGCGACAGCAGAAGGTGTGACAGGATTATACTGAGGCAATCTGTTCCTTTCACTCCAAAGGAGGAAAAAAAAGCAGAAGAAATAGTTTAGAAGTAGATAAAAACAAGAGGGAGAAGAGTCAAAGGAGAAAGGATAAAGGAATGAGATGCCTGCCCTTCCTGCTGGCTTAACTGGTCCTTCCCTTCGCTTCCAGCTCCTTTTAGGAATGTTGTTTATCCTTTTAAAGCTCCAGAAGGGAGGGGAGAGCTGAGGGTCAGCTCTCTGCAGAGCCTCCCTGGGGAAGGGCAAACCAGAGAGGGGGAAGCCTCAATGCAAACCAGAGGAGATGGTCTGCACAAGAACCAGCTGCGGTACCAAGCCGAACGGGATGCTGCTGGGGCTGTGATGCTTTAGCTGGAAGCCTCCGTTGAGGCTCCAGAAGGATTCCTGGGATCCAAGAGCTTTAGTTTTGTTTCGAAAGTGGTCATCCCCCAAACACCAAAAATAACCTTGGCCTGACTTGCCTGTGTTGCGACTGTACCAGGCTCTGCATGAGTCAGGAAGAAAGCCGTAGGAGAGGAAGGGCAAGGATGGCACCGTGTGGGCTGCCGCAGGGTGTGGTGAAGAAAGCACAGGCTGCTCCCACCTCCCGAGGCAGCATCCCTACCCCACTCGCTCTTAAGTAAGTTGTTCTTATTTCTGCACAGGTTCAGGATTCACTTCCCCTCTGCAAAGCAAGTGGGGGAAGCACTCGGAAGTGACTGGCATTCAGGAGGAGCAGAGCTCTGGCATTTTAAGGCTAGAGGTCTCAATGTGTTTCCTCCAGCGGAAGAGCGAGGTGACCACGTGCAACACGGGTTTGCTCTTACCTTGATGGGAGTGGCGACTTCTGGGCTGGCTACCACTAAAGGAGAGATTAACAGCATGCCTGAAAACTCAGTGGGTCTCTCGCTGACTGTCAGGATGGAGATGGCTCCCCCCTGCAATGCAAAGGAACAGCCCACAGCTCAATACAGGTGTCAACACCTTTGTACAGTAATGCTGGTGCTGGAAGGGGTTTAGTCCAAACAAGCAAATTCTTTCTGCCCAGTGAGAGCGCATGGTGGTCAGTGAGGAAGGCTGCAGGAGTAGTGGCATTGGGGTATCTGGGTTTTATGGGGGAGAAGAGACCTGGTTTCTGTTCCCATGCTATAAACCCTTCCATCACACTGAACTCAACTCTCTATGCAATGTCCATCAGCTCCATAGGATGCCTTGTGTCCTCCTCAGTGAAAAGGACTGAGAAGAAATGTCTCAAGTGGTCGTTCAGGTGAGACTTAAAAAGTTGAGGCTCTATCAGTGTGATAGACTGGTGTTGCAGTGGGATGATGCTGTGGAGCTGGGCTCGTGCCATGCTTGCATCTCTGGTAACCTGGGCAACAGCAAAGCCACCCCAAAATCCTCCCTAATCACTGCTAGTTCAGTGTTCTCCTCCTCATTGTTCCCAGCCCCACAGCGCTGTGCTCAGTGAGCACGCATCCCCTGGTTCAGAGCTGAACACGGGCCAGGCTGAGCCCCCCTGCACAAGGACAGGGCTGATGGGGATGGACAGGACCTGGCTTGCTTCCTCAGGGAAGTCTGCAGAGGATTAGTTGCCAAGGGGAATGTTTGGTGAACTTCCACCCTGCCGGAGAACCAGGGGCTTGTTAACTGCAGTGGCAGCGTGAAGCATCCCAAAGACCTCGCTGGGAAATCAGCTCCTTGTTAGCGCGGCTTTGGAGCACCTGGGAGCATGCCATGCCTTCTTATGGAAGAACACTTGTTTATGTGAGCATGGGCTGAATCCCAAAGTACTCATTCGTTTTCTTCTCCTTTGGGAAGGCAGAGAGAGCAGATCAATGACATCAGTGGGAATACTGCTGGCTTGAATAAAGGGATTTGGCCCGTGCTGTCAGAACCAGACTTGAGATCTGTTCACCAAATCAGTGCCTTTGTTTTTGCAGCCCTAATCCCTCGTACATTTCCCTCTTAGCTTGTTGAATAGAATGAGGCTACAGGGTATTTTCGTGTTTCATCCCCTCGCTGTTCGCAGAGCTTTGGAAGGCTTAACCTCCTGGTTACTGGGGAAAATGAAAGGAGAAGCCTAATGCTGCAGGGATGTGGTGGGACTTAGCATATACCCTGTGTGAATGAAAGGTCCTATTAAATGGTAGACCCATTGTTGCAAATGGCACTAATTAGGACCATGATCCGGGCAGAAAAGTTAAGGATTGGCTGTACTCCAGATGGATCTCATGGGGTAAGGCAAGCTGGCAAAGCAGGCAGTGAATGAAGCGGAAGGGAAGGTTGCTTGTGGCTTTGTTCTTCCTGCTGTGGGCTGAGCAATTTACTTCCTGCCATCCACAAGAACACCCCCGTGCTATGGCACGTGTTCTGGTGCTGTGGGACGGATAGGGAATGGTGCTTACCATGGAGTGCCCCAGGATGAGAATGGGCAGCTCAGGGTGCTCCTTCTTCATGAGATCAATGTGCTGCAAGCTGTCCCTGATGAAGACGTGGAAATCTGAGACAACCATACGATCGCCCTCGCTCTGCCCATGGCCAACTGTAGGGGAAGAGAGCAGAGCACACATCTAAGTCATTCAAAGCAGTGCTTGCAGTAAGGGAGGGTTTTAACAGAATCATGCCTCTTGGACTGTGTCCTCACTTGACCTTCTCCTGCAGTCATCGCTCAACAGGAAGAGTGCTGCAGGAGTACAAAGGAAGCTGCACAGAGTGGTTTAAAAAGCACCATCCTGTCCATGGTCTGATGAAGAGAAATCTTAGATTCCCCTGTGTTCCTGCCTGCTCTTCCAAACTAAGAGTGAAGATCTAATCCCTTTGCACCCATCAGGGTGAGGAGAGCAGAGGGGCTGTCTGGCCTTGCTGTAGAGGTGGTGGGTCACTGCATCCTGGGAAAGGGTTTTTTTCCCCAGGGATCATAGCTGCTAGGGTCTGAGGGCTCACTGTACAGCAGTAACTGCTGTGTAGAGTCTTGGCAAGGCACAGAAATATTCCAAGCACTAGCTATGGAGCTATAAACTTCATGGGCCATGGACGCAGCCTTTTCCAGTGCCTGGGTGTGCAGGAGCTTTGCAGAGTCCTGCTTTTTCCTCCTGACACCCTGGAGCACTGCGTGGGCCGGAAACCTTCGCTGCTAGGAGGTGAAGTGCTCTCGGCAGAGAAGGACAAGGGACGGAGGCTGCAACAGCCTCCAGCAGTGGGTAAGTACCCAAACAAGAGCTAACGCAAACTGTGCCGCACCTGGGCACTGTGAGCTGGTTCTGTAGCTGGGTATTATCTTGTCTGATCAAAGGGAAGGGAAAGACTAAAACGGGAGCTGGTGAGTTGCTATGGGAACAGTGGCATCCCTGGCAGAGCAGGAGCCAGCATCGCCACCAACACAGTCCCAGGCAATTTTGAGCTTGCAAGGGCTTGAAATGAATAACCACCCTGGGGAAGCAGTTTGCATGTTCACCTGAGCACACGTACGTGCTGCTATCTACCACAAATAGGAGTCTTCCTTACAAACAGTCTCCTTGCTCGTTGTTGGTCCACGCAGGTTGTTAAGGAAAACTGGGAATGGGAAAACGCACCCCATCCATACGGGATAGGGCATTAGGGAGTCTCAGACATCTCCCTCCTGCTGTGTGTCTCCCTAGGCCTTCTCCAGTGGGCCCTTAGGCATACTTAAAGGCACAAAGGGACAATGACGTGTCCAAGGATGTGAAGTGCCTGATAACTGTTCTCTTGCTGGATGGTACCCCCGCTAGTGAGCAGCAAAGAAAAATTGCCCACCCAGCCTGAAAGGTACAGATCTGCTGGCAATATCGTGACAGAAGAAATCCGTGTGTCTGAACTTGATTTTCCTGTAAGCCAGGCAAAGAAAAGCACCCTGCAAACCAGGCAGAATGGCTAATAAAAAGCTGGACTAAAGACACTCCAAGAAACACTGAGCCACAGACTTGTCCTTCTTTTGTCCTGCCAGGTGCTCTTCAGAGGTGGGAACACTGCAATCAGTCATGTTGGCTGCCAGGTAAACCCAGAGATGTCATTATAAATGACACGGTACTGGTTCTGCTTTCCATGCATACACCCCAATCCCTGCCAAAATGTGATCCAGCAAGTGGATCTGCCATGGCTCAGTGACCAGAAACAAATCAAAGAGCCAATTCAGATGCAAATTGTAATAGTCTAAGAAGCTATGTATGTGCTAGTGGGTCTATTAACTTTAAACTGCTTTTTATTACAGATGGAAAGCGAGCCTTCCCTAACTTTTATACTATCCATTCCACTCATTTTGTGGACCTTAAATGTGTTGTATCCCCCTTATTTAAATCTCAAATCTAGCAGGTTAATATGAGTTAAAGAGCCCAGAGAGAGGAACATTCCTCTTTGCAAAGCTTTGCCCTTCCAATTCTTTTTCTCCGGTGATGCTTGCACTTGTTTCTAGTCTCTCTTCAGTGTCTGTGTGAGACAGCTGAGCAAGCAGAAATAGCAAACCAGGTCTGTGTAGGCCATGATTCCCTGCTGTGGAGCTGTGAGGCTCTGCTCTATTTTTGGATGAGACAGAGACAGCTCTAGGAAGCCTCCTTGGTCCTCAGCATGGAGCCAATCCCCCGCTCTTACCATATACCAGTGATACTGCTCATAACAGCCAGAGGTTGTGGGAGCCAAGAAATGCCTCTGCAATAGCTGGGACAAGCATCTCTCCTGGGGTTTTTATTAGTAACTTAATGAACACACCTTTTGACCCTGCTTTTAACTATTAAATCACTGTTTGCCACCCAGGTGGCCCATAGCGATGCTTGAGGAGCAGTTTGTCGGCGTGTGTGGTAAAGGAAGGCCCTGCATGTCTTTGCTGTGATGCTATCCCAGTCCCTTGCACAAGGTTAGCTGGCTGGCATTGCTAGGTTCTCCTCTTTATATTTGACTGGTTTTCTCTCTTCCCCTCCAAGAAACCAGAGAATTCTCCACCAGAGAACAAGTTTATTGCAAGTTTGGATCTCCAAGCTGAGAAAGCTTCAGGGTAAGGAACTAAGACCTCTTCAGTTAGACGAAAGATGTGCACAACCAAGCATCAATACAGTCGAGAATATTGACATGTTTTTCTCTTTTGCCTTTAGAGGTATTAAGAATGAAAGGTCAGGTTCAGCCTTGATGTAAAGCTATTTGCTTTGGGTTTTGCTGGGTATGACTCTGACATAGCGGTTCCACATTGCCGGCGGTGAGGCAGTGGGTGCAAGAAGAGGGGAACTGCCTGCACCCAGGAACTGGAACTAACCACATCCAAAGGAGACAACAGAGAAGTGTCATGAGAACCACAGCTCTGTGAGTTCCTCATCACAACACTTCCCTTGGTTTCAACAGGGCAACGTGAGGTCACAATCATGAGATGCTCCTCTCTAAAGAGCTGCGGGTGCCAGCGCACGTCCACATGGCACACTCGGTTTCCTGTCTATGTGGCTTCACATCCAGCTTGCAGTTAGCTTAGGGATGTCTCGAGGCATTACGGCTGATGGCTGTATTTATGAGCCTTACTTGAACTCATCTGAGTAAGGTTTTTGCACTCATACAGCACCCAGCACCTCAGGGCAGCTTCACAGACCCTGGTCCAAGGTAGTGCAAGCTCTAAAAGTAATAATGAACTCTAATCCCAGGCTGTAAGGCAGTGTAGCTTTGCAGAGGAGGTGATGGGAGAAAGCACAGAGATGGAGAATGTGGGTGAGACAATACACCAGGCACTACTAATGGGTTCATCCAGCAAATGTTGAGAGAAGCTTTGATTTTCTGCTTGGGTGTTTTCTTAAGGTTTAATGCAAAAAATATATTAACAAACTAGTAAACAGTTTGAATTGTACCAGTTCACTACTGCACCAACCCTGCTTGTCTGCTAATGAGTCAAGTACCCATCCTTCTCATCAAGTGAGCAAAGCTCATTCATTAAACATACTGGATTGCAAAGCTCTCAATGTTTAATTGCTTGTTTAACAAGCAGCACATCTAATCCACCATTCAGACCCACAAACAACTAAAACAACAGGAAGAAGCTTCAAAGTAGGACAGACAACATCTGGAGAAGTCAACAGCCTGTGCCTGCATTGTCAGTAGCAAAGCAAACGTTCCGCTCAGAACAAATACACACAGGAAGCACCTCTGAGTTCATCTGCACATTCCTACTCGACAAAGTGGCTTCCTTGCCCTGAGAACAGGCTTATCACAACAAGGGAGTGCTTTCTGCTTTTATTTTTCCTCTCTTTTTCCATTCCCAACCAAATCGAGTCTGATGCCTGGAGGCATTCAGCACTGTCTGCCCCACATTTAAGTACTCTTTGTTTTGCATGGAGATGGAGAGCAAAGACAAGGCAGAGACATCTGAATGAGGAGAAGCAGCACGAGCTGTCCCAGGACTTGCCATGCTGCCTTGACTGTAGTAAAGCTGACACCTAGGTCAGCTACTGTGCTGAATCAGCCTTCTCTGTGCACCACCTCTCTCTTCCTCTCTGACAGCTCTGGTTTCCATAGGAAGAAAAAGCAGTGCTTAGGCTGGAAGGGAGCAGGTCCATGATCTGGACCACCAGGAGACAGGACCATGGGGCACAGTGTGGAATAAACCTGCTCTGCAGCATTGACAAGCTTTACACTGTGCATATTTGGTCTACGGCTTTTCCAGGACTACTTCACATCAGCCTTAGAACCTAAAAGGAGAGGGTACCCTCTCATCACTGCTTCCATCTTTATGTTCCTTGAGGATCTGAAACCCCATGCTTATCCTTAGTAACTTTTGACCACAATTCTCCACCTGGGTAGTCCTCAGCATCCCTTCCTTCATACCACCTATATAGATACAGGGAATATGCTGGGTTTTCCACAATAATAGGCACATTATAAACCCACTAGATATGGTACCCAAAGAAGTATCTTTCCACCCTTGGTGTTTTATCTGTGGAGCATGTAACTAAGAATTACAGGCAGATTCTCCCTCTCTCTTACCAAAAGGGAGTCGTACCCTGGACACAGAAGTCCGTCAGCTTCCCTCTTCCTCCCCAGGCTTAGGAAAATCATTTTCCTTTCGGCATTTGCTGGATAGCTTTTATTCACTTGCCTCACACAAAGGGTGCAGCAAACTGCAAGCCGCCTCCTCCCACATTGGAGGCACATTTGCAGAGCTCAGATATTTTTAGCATGGTGCATACACACACACACAGTTATATTGTTTGTTGTCTTGGTTAAGGGGAAAAAAAAAGGAACAGGCAATTTTCCACACTAAAATGCTTTGTGCCTTCTGCTGGGAGCAGGGAACGGGTCAGCTTGCTGGAGCCATCGGGAATTTTTTCTGTACTCCAAAGATGACAAACAAAACGACCTGGTGCATGTCACAGCAGTGGTTGAGTCTGCCCAACAAGGCAAACTGTTGTTGTCAATGTTAGCAGTCAATTCATGCCTAATGGATACAAGCGCGGTTCCTTTGGCTTTAGAAGCCTCGCCTGTTCCTTCTGCTGTTGCTGAATTTGGCTCTGATTTGCAGTTCCTTAAAAGTCTTCCTGGAACATCATGTTGCTCATGAAAACCATGCTGAAAAACCCCATCTGGGTGTGTTGCAAAATCACGAGTCCTTCGCAAGCTGCCTTTACAAACAGCAGCCACTGCGGCCAGAGCAGGAATGTAAGTGTCTCCTGGGACATGTAATGAAAGGGGATTAAGACAGTGTGAAAGCCTGCATATACCACAGTCACCTCCCACACTGTCTGGAGCTTTGTCATCCCTATCCACCAGGATGCTGTTTCATGGCTGGTAGGAGCTAAGCCCCATGACAGAGGAATCCGGAGCCCAGTTCCTTTTCCACAAAGTCCATAGACAGCCGTATTCTCCTTTCTTCTTCAGCCCCTTCTGCAATGCCACCTCCCAAACCAGCCCTCAAGAATACTAAAGCAAAAGAGAGCTAAACGGAATGCCCTTCTCTGCCGGGCTGCTGGGATCAGGGGTTTGAACACACTGCACGGAGCTGGCATAGCTGGTTGAGCAGCCATTGAGCTCCTCTGCAAAAGACTTTCCTTTGGTGATGGGTGAAATGATTCCTATCTAATCTCTTTTCCCATGGGTTGAAAACCACAATATAAATGTAAGATATCTAATCAGTGAGGCACAACGTATGGTGCCTCTAAGGAGTCTTATAATCTGGCACTAAGTGATTATATTTAAGGCCCTAGAATAACTTTTCACTGTTATTCTTGCAGTGTTGCACTGAGATTTTGCCTTCTTTCATGAGGAGCAGATCATTTCCTACAGTATCATTGAGGTGACTTGGTTTAGCATCAAAGTAGCTTTTCAAAGACTTATTCTGCCATGACATTGAACCAGCACCAGTGCTTGGGTACTGCAGAAAAGATCGCATGGACTTTGCTGGAGTTAATCCAGGGTCTCCCGTGTTCACTTGACCTATTTGTTGCTGATCTTTTAAGAACAGAGAAGAGCTTCTTTTCTGCTCTCCGCATACGACTTAAGACACCACCAATGTTAGCCAGAGTTTCACTGGGAGAGGAGAGCAGCCAAGGGCAATCTCCCTTCTCTTTTAATTTAGCTTTAAAATCATATACAATTTTCTTACCTTGTTTTAGTACCATAAAATCCCCCCAAAAGGGTGCAAACTTTACTTTTTCCCCTGACAAAACCAAGGTTGCAAATCCACTTGCATTAACTTCCTGGTCCAAGCTCCAGCTTTAGAACAACTGAGGCACCAACTCAAGATGTCCAAGTTTTCCATGGGACAGCCAGCGCTGGAGCAGAACTGCACAATCCCCTTCCCTGCCCATTGATTCCAAAGCACGACTGGCATGTGGGTTTGGCTCTCTGACACGCACATGCTATTAAGTCCTAAATGACAGCTTGTTTAACTAGAAAACATTTCCATTTTCCCCTTCACAAAGGCCATTCATTTCGTGCTCTTCTATTTGCTTTAAGACGGTTTCATTTGCCCTGCCTGAGAGTTTGCACTGCCCGCCTGATTGTTCCCCTCCAAAGAGAGCTGCAAGTTAATGACCCACCTCTTGATCCCTTGAGCAGGAGCCTTGCCCAGCACGCTGCTGCATCGCGAGCGAGCTCCTCGCATTGCAAGCTCCATACGTGTGCCTTGAGTACGGCCATGCTTGAGAAAACAATCGCATCAATTCAGCTCAGGGACGACAGGCCTAATTCTTCCCTGCTAACAGTAGATTAAGCATCAAGAACAGAAGATGAAAGCTAGCTCATGTAAGAACTCCCTCCATGCTGCTGACAAATGTCCTGGGGGACAGGCACAACTCCCTTTCAAGCTATCTTCAAAAGGTTCCCCTCCGTGCAGACCACCCATTGGGAACTCACATCAATAACAAACACACAAAAAAAAACGATTTAAAAGACCCATTTCTTCACCCAATTTATTTACATGTTAAAATAAACACGAGTTCCCGTATGGAGCAAGGGCTCCCACTGGGTTCTGTTTAGTCTGTGAGATTCTTGGCACTGGAGTACAGCGTTTCCCTATTCCAAAGCAATCTTGGCACTGCTTTTTTTTCTGTTATATCTTTTTTTCAGCAACTGGCAAATGAATAACAATAATCATGATGCTTCTATAAAGAGGGAATCACTTCCTAAGGCACCAGCAAGGTGTTGGACCAATTAATCCTCCCAAAGCTCATTAGCAAAGCAGAGCTCCCAAAGTCCTGCATTCAGGATCAGTTCTCCCCACGGGTCGCACTTCCAGTTCTCAATCAACCTGTCCAAAGGGAGCTTTCCCACAGAGCTAGAGAGATTGTTGCTCTTTGCTTCCCTCCTTCACATCACCACATGGCAGTGCCACCCTCATTAGACCGGATTTGTCCCCGTTCCTGACAAGACACGAAGGGAACACCGCTCTTCAGAGCCGATAGCTTTGTATGCCCACCTTGCACAACCTCAGTGGGTGAGTGGCAGGTGGATTACTTCAAATAAGGGCAGGCTTGCTTTTGCTATACCCACACAGAGCTGGAGCTCCTCAAACCCTGCCAGACCTGCCCAGGAGCAACACAATTAAGAAGAACCCTTCTGATGAAGCAGGTCTGGCAGGGAGCATTCCTGGGTGGAACAACCATTCCCAGCATGCCAGAGCAGAGTCCCACGGCTGCCAGTTGGCTCGGGGCTGGGTGGTATTTAGCTGGTGCACGGGGAAAGGAGCACAGCAGAAAATAGCTCCACTCAATCGGTCTTGCAGCAAAGCTTTGTCCTTTCTGGGCAGAGATTGATTTCAGTGTCATTATTTCAGCTGCTTTTTGGCACTTGATCCCCTTTTTCTGTGTCACTCCTGTCCCTGCAACTCTGAATCCTCGCTACATCTATATCTATCTCCCAAACAGGCCCGGATCAAACAGGCAGGTTATTGCTTTCTGTGCTCTATTACTCATTTCAAACCATGGCTGGTTGACAGTAGACAATGAGTACGAGCTGGCAGGTCTGCACTTAGTGAACAACACATAGGTACAAGTGTTGAGCTGTTGATGGTTACGGACCTGTATGTTACTTTTGGGCGATGCAAGCTGCTTGGCACTCAGTCAGAGAGGGTGTATTGGCAGCTCAGAGAAAGCTCTCTTCAAAATCTGGGCAGGATAGGTGCAAAGTTGATGAAAAGGCACAGGATTGTAACCAAAACAACAGGTTGGGTCAAGCAATCACAGTTCAGAAAAGCCCCAAACCCCCTTTCCCTTCCCCTTCCACAGAACTGAGCATGAACTTGGCACCACTATGGACCAGGCTGCCTATTTTTTAGCATCAGACAAACTGCCATGGTCTCCTGGCATGCTTTGTCCTTGGTAAATTCAGAGCCAGAAAATCA